CACAGGGCTGGGAGCGAGGAGCGGTGAGCGCAAGCACTGCACAAGCATGCAGCCGAGACGCTGAACAGCGCTGGGTCTCAGGATGGGCTCCGGCCTCGGGCCGTCCTCGCGTGTGGTTTCGATGGGGCATCCTTTGGCGCGCGAGGATCGCCGCGGCCAGGAGACACGCTCGAGTGATTTGCGAGAACGCCCGAGACCGGCCACGCCCCCCCCGCCCCCTCTCCCCCTTGGTCACGTCACGATTCGCGTCGGCGCCGTCTGGGAACTAGCCATTCCTTGGCATTCCCAGGCGGCACCCGCGCGAGTCGTGATGTTTCCAGCCCCCCCACCCCCGTCCACGCAAGGCACCGCTAGGGGATGAGAAAGTGGCCTCCGGAACACGGTCATGCAATGTCTTCATTTTTCTAACACAGTCCCCAGAATTCCCGACCCTTTCCCCCAGGCCGGTTTTGCACCCCGAGCAGTGCCGTGGAAGGCTTGTGGCCCGGCAAGGGCCCCCCGAGGCAGACTTGCGCAGGACGTCCGCCCAGATTTTCTCAAGAGCCTCCCGCCCGAGAGGCTCCTCCTCCGCGAGGCTCCTCCTCCTCCTCCTCCGCGAGGCTCCTCCTCCTCCTCCTCCTCCTCCTCCCCCTCCTCCTCGGTCCTCGATCCTCGATCCTCGATGGCCCCTCCTTCTCCTCCTCCTCCTCCTCCGCCTCCTCCTCCTCCTCCTCCTCCTCCTCCTCCTCGATCCTCGATCCTCGATTCTCGATCCTCGATCCTCCTCCTCCGCCTCGCAGGGCCCCTCCGCCGCGGCGGCACGGCGGCTGCGGCTGCGCACTATCGGAGGCCCGCGCGGACGTCCCCGGCCGGCGCTGGCCCCCCCGTCCTCCTGCGGGGCTCAAGGGACGGGGCTCCATGCAGACGGGTGTCAGCCAGGGGTGCTCTTGGCCCAGGGTGCCCCCAGGATTTGCGAGAGGCCCCCACGGCCTCCAGGGCAACCCTCACGAGGCCCAGGGGGCCCCAGGAGCTCCAGAATCGAGCGAAAGGCTGGGGGCACCTTGTGCCAGGGGCACCTTTAGCAACCCCCGAACGGGGCTCAATGCAGACGGGTGTCAGCCAGAGCGCTGGACCTTGCAGGATCCTGCAGGGCCAGGGGTGCACCGACCCGTGCTTGGGCGCAGGACCCGGCAGGACCCCCGCGGCGAGCTATGATACCAAGGAGTCTCTCGAGGAGGCCTACAAGAAAGGTTCGGCGCGCCGTTTATCCTGACCTCGAACGCCCAGCTGAAGTCTCTGTGCGAGGAGCGTGCACTAAAAACCTACTATCGGCGTCTTCGGCGGCGCCGGCGCAGCGCGCGCCAGGGGGCGGCGCCAGAGGCGCCCCCCAGGGGGGGCGGAGAGCAGCGACACCGCGCGGCAGCTACGTGTTTGAGTCGGGCACGTCCCTCTACAGGAGGAATGTCCAAGAACCGTTTGCAGCCATAGGCTGGTGACGACTTTCCGTGCTCCACTGATGCTTTTTGACTGTTTTTGACTATTTTGATCGGGGGTGGACAGAACCCCCAACAGTGACACGTCGATTAGTGAATTGTCCGTTTTCGGTTCTCGAGAGGGCGCCGTGGCCGTTATTTTCCAGGCCTGCGCCCGCCAGGTTTGGGCCTCAGGTCGTTTTCACTAAACCACGTTTTGCTAAAGGGAGGTCTGTCCATCCCCGATTTGAATTTTTCATCCAAAATCCGCCTGTAGGAGGACATGCCCGACCTCAAAGCTACGTGCACGTGGTGGAAGTGGAGGGGCGCGGGCGCCGGCACGCAGTGGCCGCGCGGACCTCGGGCAGATGTCAGGGGAGGTGAGGATATCCGTATCCCCCCGCAGTTGCGGAGAAGGGCGGGGGGCGGCGGGGTCGTCGGCAGTCTGCGAGGCTCTGGAGAAGCCCGCCGCAGTCGCCCATCTTTGCAAATTAGTCGGCGATCCCGCCGCAGGCACCGCATCTTCAACAAGGCAGTGTGGGTGTGTCGCGGGAGGATCGCGGGTGGGTCGCGGGTGGGTCGCGGGGTGGATCGCGGGTGGATCGCGGGCGGGTCGCGGGCGAGGACACCAACAACAAAACCACCAACAACACCAACACCACCAACAAAACACAGCAGCAATCACACAACAGCATACAATATCATCAACAACGACAACAACAACATCAACAACAACAGCAACAGCAACACTGACAAAACGAGTTAAACACCAGCACACAACAACAACAACAACAACAACAACAACAACAACAACAACAACAACAATTACTAGCACGTGGGGACACTCCGTTCTCACCAGTGCCAGGGTTTTCATAGGAGGCGGGCAATACCCCCACTTTGTGGGGGGGCCGGTTCAAGCTCTACCAAATTTCCAAACGACTCTTCGCCACCACCCACACCCAGCTTCCCGCCCTATGACGTTCGGACACTTCACTTCGTGGCATGCGGACGACCGTGGCTACTATTCAGGGCCCCGCGGCCGACGACGACGGCGTGCGCGCGCGAAGAAAAAACGAATGTGTCCCGCATGGTATTATTTGACAGGGATGATGGCCCTGGCAGGTGCGCAACCGTTGTTGCAGAAGTTCGAAAAAGTTGCTCGCAAAAGCCCGTTTGACAGAAATGTTTAAAAAGTGTTGGGTTTCCTACGAATCCGCAAGAGCGCGCGGGATGAAATTTTGACATTTTTTTTTTTTTTTTTTTTTTAAAAAAAAAACCATTGGTTTTTGATGTTTTTATGTTAAAATCGCTACGAAAACTAAGGTTTTGGAAGGATTTCGTCTTGCGCGCGCGAATGTCCACTTTACCTTATTTTTTGCAAGGGATTCTTGAAGTTTGGTTATGTTAGAACAAGAAATGTCCACTTTAGCTTTTTTTTTGCAAGGGAAAGCGGGCCGTAACAAAACAACCGGATCCGGACCAACCCGTTTTGCTTGAGACTTCCTCACGAAAATGATGAAAATGTGGCTGCGGCCTAGGCGCGGCGGGGGGGTCGTGCACCAGGGGTCCCAACAATAATTGTTCTTTAGAAGTAATAATGTTCAACAATAATAACAACCACGCCACCAACAACAACAACAACCACAACCACAACAATAACAATCATTTTAAGATTGTTCGCTCTTACTGTCACGCGTGTCTTGCATTTCGAATACCCCAACCCTCGATACCCCAACCCTCGATACCCGCCCCAACCCTCGATACCCGCCTCGAGCGGGAGCCGTTGTCGTCGTAGTTGGGCCTCCAAGGGCCCACATTTAGGCTCAAGTCAACGCTCGAGCGGGAGCCTCGTTTTCAGAGAATGTAGCCTGCGTCGAGGCGAGAACGCGCGGAACCGTGTCCGGAGATCAACGATGATTCTTTGTTAGAAATGAGTTTTCAACAACAATTATAACAATAACACCACCAACATGCATCAACAGCAACCCCATCAACTACAGTAGCAACAACGACAACGACAACAACACCAACAACAACACCAACACCAACAACGACAACACCACCACCAACAACAACACCACCATCACCAACAGCACCACCACCAACAACAGCAACAAACAACACCATCAAACCAACAAACACCAACAACCAACACATAATAAACAAACAAACAAACAAACAAACAAACAAACAAACAAACAAACAAACAAACAAACAAACAAACAAACAAACAAACAAACAAACAAACAAACAAACAACAACGACGACGACGACGACGACGACAACAACAACCATTAACAGGGATCACGTGCGCCGCGTTGCTCCACTCCAGTCACACACACGCACGCAGACACACGCGCACACAGAGACAATCAATCACCGTTCGGCCGCCCTCACCCTGGAGAGCCCTCGTCGCCACGGTTGGATCCTCCTTGAAGTTATGGTCAGAGTGCCCCCTGGACGAGGTCCGGGGCGCAGCGGGATTGTGACTTGCACTTCTCCGAAGCTCATGCCGATGCCGTCGTCTGTTCCGCCGGGGCCTGCCTCGGGCACACCCCGAGGTGTTTCGTGCTCAGAGGGCGCTCTGGCCGTCCGGCGGCCCTCTCCCCCCGTCCTTCGGGGGAGGAGGAGGAGGAGGAGGAGGAGGAGGAGGAGCTCGCTCCAGCAGCAGCCCGGCCGTGGCTCGGCCGCAGCTCCGATATCCAGGGGGCCGCAGGCCGGCCCCGGCGGCGAGCGAGGGGGGGGAGCGAGAGAGAGAGAGGCTTCCCGCTACCCATTCAGCGTCGATCTCCAGGAAGATATGGGAAAATATGGGCAGTGGGGGGGAAGACGAAAACCCAGAAAACATTGGAACATGTGGGGAATCCTTTTATTTGTGTGTGCTTATTTGCGTTTCCCACTACCCTCGTCAAAAGTAACCTCAAAAGTTGCTGGCACGTTTTTTCGATGTCGGCGCGCCCCTCGATGTCGACACGCCGCCCCGTCCATGTCGGGGCGGGGGCAAAGACGGTCTGACCGGAGTTGACTCGAAAGCTTGACGTCGACCGACATCGGAGGGGCGGCGCATGCGAATACCCCGCACTCATCGGCACTCGGCCCCAGATCTTCCGACAAGCAGTTCAACCACGTCAGACGTTTTTGAGGTTAATTTTGACGAGGGTTGCAGGAGGCCCGGACGCCTCCCACAGCCCTCCGAGAGGTGCCCTGCGCCCTCCCCGGCGGCAGAAGCAGCTTCTCTCAGCAGGCATCGAGGGCTTCTGAGGGGCCCCGCCGCCTTCTGAGAGGGCCTCCTCCTCCCCCCCCTCCTCCTCCTCCTCCTCCTCCTCCTCCTCCTCCTCCTCCTCCTCCTCCTCCTCCTCCTCCTCCTTCTCCTCCTCCTCCCTCCCCCCCTCTACGCTGGGCTTCTCCCCCCCCCAAAATGTTCTCCTCCACGCTGGGCTCCTCCTCCCTCCCCCCCCTCGCTCGCCGCCGACGAGCAGTTGCCCTGGAGCAGCGGGCAGCGAGCAGCGCGCAGGGAGGGGGGCTAGCCCGAACGCGGGGCGGGGGCAGAACGCTGGCGTGGCCGGCGGCATCCTGATGCACTCGCTGGCGTGCGCCTGGGTCCGGCGGCGCGCCGGGCGCGGCGCGGACCACGCTCTGGGCGGCGTCGCGTGGCCGGCAGCAGAAAGGCGCCGCTTCTCCTCCTCCTCCTCCTTCTCCTCCTCCTCCCCCTCCTCCTCCTTCTCATCCTCCTCCTGCTCCTCATTCTCCTCCTCCTCCTCCTCCTCCTCCCTCCTCCCCCGTCGCGTGGGCAGCAGACCTTAAGGGCGCCGCTTCTCCTGGAAAGCAGTGGCGAAGCGTCCTGGCTCTTGTCTATAGAACCTCTTGTGGTCTGCACGAGGTGTTCTTGGATTATGTCTGGCTGCGACTGCCTTGTTTTGACACGTCGGGCTTATGCCCTAAGAACATTGTTGTTGTGATTAGAACATGCTTATGGGTCTAAGAACACTTCGCGGTAGGCCCATGGGAATGCCGGGACGATCGGTCCCTGCTCAATCCTCAGGGACAACGTTGTGGGCGGGACAGGTTCAGAGGGAGGGGCTACGCATCGACCCCCCAATCGCCCAGTCAGTTCCGACAGGGGCCCGACGATGGCCCGCCCCGTCCAAGAACGTCCAGATTTGCTAGCAGGGGCCTAACGTCAGTCTGTCGGCGATGTACAGTCAACGCGCCCAGTAAGGACGCGCGACACCATCTAGCATACCTTGTGTCCGTGCCTCTGTGGCCCGTTCTTTGCTGTTCTCGCTGGTCGCCCGCCGCCCAACAAATTCCCAGCTTCGGCTTTCAGGGTCTTGCGTCTCTACCACCCGTCCTTAATACACGTTTTGTCTGTAGCGCCGATTCCCACCGGAGCCAGTCCCCCCATATCGTTAACACCCTAGGTCGGGGCGTCAGTCAGGGTCCGCCTCCGATCGATCCGGTTCGATATCGATTTCGGTCGGCCCCCCGATCCGAGTCGATTCGCCGCCCCGAAAAATGCCAACTTCGGCCTCTGAGGGTCTTGAGTCCTTGCGACCTGTCCTCAATACACGTTCTGAATGTAATGCCGATTCCCGCCTGAGCCAGTCCCCCCATAGCGTTGCCCCGCATCTCCGCTCCATCCGATCGATCCGGTTCGATATCGATTTCGGTCGGCCCGATCCGATTCGATTCCACTGTTTAGACGTTCCGATGCGGCCCGATGCGCGAATGGTGTCGTTGAGGAGGAGGAGGAAGAGGTGGTGGAGGAGGAGGAGGAGGACGACGACGAGGTTTGTGGGAGGAGGAAGGCACGCGCCAAAATACATTCGATACGGGCAGGGAGAAGAGGGGGGGAGGGCTGGCCCCCGCACTGCGCAGGCAGCACGACGGCAGCCTTACAGTGGGAGCGCGTGCCAAGAAGCACCGCACGTTTTGCGGGTGCCCTTGGAGTCGTTGGCGGGTGCTCGGCGTGGAGGCTTGCAGCGGCCGTGAAGCCATCGCAGCAGGCGTGGCACCCGGAGTGCCCGGACGCTGCGTGGCCCAGGGTACCTTTGCGTTTCTTCGCTGGCGGCCGCTGAGCAAGGCATCCTCCTCCTCCTCCTCCTCCTCCTCCTCCTCCTCGTCCTCGTTCTCCTCCTCTTCCTCCTCCTCCTCCTCCTCCTCCGCCTCCTCCTCCTCCTCCCTTGGCCCACGAAGCTTCGGCGAGTTTCAGGGTTGGGTTTTCTTGTGACAGGTTTCTTGTGTTCTACAGTGGGGGCCCACGCCAAGAAGCACCCTGCTTGCCTCCAAGGTGCCCTGGGCTTCTCGGGTGTCGATGGCTTTGCTATGGAAGGCGTGGCGCTCCCACACCAGAAATCAACTGGCGGCCTGGGGTCCCAGGGTTGTGGACTGGCCTCTACTTCGGGAGCCCTGAGACGGGGGTCAATGCAGACGGGGGTCAGCCAGGGCGCCAGATCCTGCCAGATCAAGACTGCAGTAGTACTGCAGTCTTGATTGCATTGTAACTTGCATAACTCGTGATTTCACTGAAATGCCCTGTCCTGCTAGCTAAGACATCAAAGACCCTGTGACTGACACGATGCACGGTTCCATACGGTCAGGATATCAGGCACGTGACAACCTTAACACAAGAAGGTAGAAGTCTTTCCCGGGAGTGATATCACTACTGTCAGCCTAACGCCAACCTCAATGTTGTCCATCGTCGTCGGATTAGGTCTTATTTTGAGATGGGTATTCAGCAACACGGACGTGATGGACATGGAATTACAGGGGCACAGGAAACGGATTCTTTGCACAATGAGCGATGAGGCAACGTTCGAGGAAAGTCGGTGGAAATGCAGGGGTTTGGCGGTTTGGGACATCGTTCAAGGAATGCTCATCTCATCGCCACGCTCACTAGCAAAGAGTCCAGTATGACGCGTGTTGCATTGTGTCTTGGCTCAACCCCAGTCGCTCGCATATACCTGAAGGCACGTGAGTACAGGCAGGGAACTGTAGCCCGATGACTTCACGCGCGTCTTGCATGTTGCATCTTCGTCGTGGTCGCCACACCCGCAGCGTTGCCGGTGTGAGATGCATATTCAAGAGGTGGTTGCACACGGTGATCGCTGGAAGGTGTTTCTGTTGCGAGCTGCTCGAGTGGGCGTCCGCGCGGGCAGCCTCATTCGTCCTCTTTTCGCCTTCCAGCGCTCGCTGCACCTCGACGATCGCCGCGTACACCGTCGTCTTCGCCGTGTGCAGATGCCCCTTCCCTCGCGCCTCCTCGGTCTCGCCCGGCTCCCCGTTGTGCTTGCCGCTCTGGCGCCGACCTTCTCATAGGGACAAGGGGCCGCGGTGCAATGTCTTCTGTCGAGGCGCTGCAGAAGGCGTGGGGAGGGCGTCGGGAAGCAACCCTTGTTCCGCAGGGTCTCACCACTGCTTGCCACGTGCGCGTGCCAAGCAGTGCCTTTTTCCACACTGTTCCCTGCCCCGTGGTACCCTCGTCGCTGGTACTTGTTTCGTGACGGCTTGTTTGCCCTCCCGCTTGGACGCCTCCTTCTTTTTCCCAACCCTCCTGCGTTGGGTACTCGTTTTGAATAGAGCACTGCTCGCGCGTCTCCTTCCTTCCTTCCCGCCCCTCTCTTCCCCTTGCCTTTTGCCTCGCTCGTCGCTGCGTGCCAGCTGGGGGGCTGAGATCTGTGAAACTGTCGCCACTTTCGAGGCCTGCTGGGGGGCCCAGCACAGTGGGTACACACGGCGGATTGAAATTGGACCTCGCCATCCCTGGGGGGCTGCGATCTGGGAAACTGTCGCCACTTTCGAGGCCTGCTGGGGGGCCCAGCACAGTGGGTACACACGGCGGATTGAAATTGGACCTCGCCATCCCTGGGGGGCTGCGATCTGTGAAACTGTCGCCACTTTCGAGGCCTGCTGGGGGGCCCAGCACAGTGGGTACACACGGCGGATTGAAATTGACCTCGCCATCCCTGGGGGGCTGCGATCTGTGAAACTGTCGCCACTTTCGAGGCCTGCTGGGGGGCCCAGCACAGTGGGTACACACGGCGGATTCAAATTGACCTCGCCATCCCTGGGGGGCTGCGATCTGTGAAACTGTCGCCACTTTCGAGGCCTGCTGGGGGGCCCAGCACAGTGGGTACACACGCGCGGATTCAAATTAGACCTCGCCATCCCTGGGGGGCTGCGATCTGTGAAACTGTCGCCACTTTCGAGGCCTGCTGGGGGGCCCAGCACAGTGGGTACCCACGGGCAGATTCAAATTAGACCTCGCCATCCCTGGGGGGCTGCGATCTGTGAAACTGTCGCCACTTTCGAGGCCTGCTGGGGGGCCCAGCACAGTGAGGTACGCCGGACGACCTCGCCATCCCTGGGGGGCTGCGATCTGTGAAACTGTCGCCACTTTCGAGGCCTGCTGGGGGGCCCAGCACAGTGGGTACCACGGCGGATTCAAATGGGACCTCGCCATCCCTGGGGGGCTGCGATCTGTGAAACTGTCGCCACTTTCGAGGCCTGCTGGGGGGCCCAGCACAGTGGGTACACACCGCGGACTCAAATTAGACCTCGCCATCCCTGGGGGGCTGCGATCTGTGAAACTGTCGCCACTTTCGAGGCCTGCTGGGGGGCCCAGCACAGTGGGTACACACGGCGGATTCAAATTAGACCTCGCCATCCCTGGGGGGCTGCGATCTGTGAAACTGTCGCCACTTTCGAGGCCTGCAGGGGGGCCCAGCACAGTGGGTACACACGGCGGATTGAAATTGGACCTCGCCATCCCTGGGGGGCTGCGATCTGTGAAACTGTCGCCACTTTCGAGGTCTGCTGGGGGGCCCAGCACAGTGGGGCACGGGGATTGAAATTGGACCTCGCCATCCCTGGGGGGCTGCGATCTGTGAAACTGTCGCCACTTTCGAGGCTGCTGGGGGGCCCAGCACAGTGGGTACCCACGCGGATTCAAATTAGACCTCGCCATCCCTGGGGGGCTGCGATCTGTGAAACTGTCGCCACTTTCGAGGCCTGCTGGGGGGGCCCAGCACAGTGGGTACCCACGGCGGATTCAAATGGGACCTCGCCATCCCTGGGGGGCTGCGATCTGTGAAACTGTCGCCACTTTCGAGGCCTGCTGGGGGGCCCAGCACAGTGGGTACCCACGGCGGACTCAAATTAGACCTCGCCATCCCTGGGGGGCTGCGATCTGTGAAACTGTCGCCACTTTCAGCGGCCTGCTGGGGGGCCCAGCACAGTGACGCCACACGCAGATTCAATTTAGACCTCGCCATCCCTGGGGGGCTGCGATCTGTGAAACTGTCGCCACTTTCGAGGCCTGCTTGCGGGGCCCAGCACAGTGACGCCTCCCAAGTAGTTTACACATCAAGTTGATTGTCCATACAAGTTTCGGCCAACTCCTCGTTTCCATTGATACAAACGGGTTGGGTACGTCACAGGGTAATTTCTGCTCGGCACAGCTCGGGATGCCAGGTTCGTTTGATTCTTCTGCCTCTTATTCCGGCATGCCTGTTGGATGACTTTCGATCAGCAGCTGTGGAGGAGCAGGA